CCAGTTCTCCTTACTGACGGAGATAGTTTTTGGTTTTGCATTGTAGGGAAGGAGACACCATGAAAAGCCCGTTAAGCTTTAAGTTCTTCAGGAATAGCAGAATTACAAGTCAGGAATCTCAAAACACTAGTTTACATGGAAAATATTTATACCAGTGAACCAGTAGCTGACGTGTGCAAAATTTTAGTGTTGATATGCTACAGTATCCTAGAATGGGGCTTATGCTTAGGCTTAAATTGGTGACATCTTCAATGGGTGTTTGTACAAGCTTATACACCAACATCCATGTTGTCAAGTTAGAGTATAGGTTGTTTGGAAGGTGGTGGTTTGCAACAAACAAGTGTCAGTACTGAGTCATGAACAGTTGGCCCCTTCCTGGAGGTTTGTCTTCCATGTGAAGAAGGTGGAAAGCCTGAAGAATGATTTCGATTTTTCTCTGGAAATTCATTAGGCATGGAGCACAGAAGTAGTTGACCTGTTTTCTGATTTTGCGATACGATATGCACCAGCCTTTACCTATTTGTCCTCCTTCCCACCTTCTAACCATCTAGCAAGGTCACATAGTATGAAGTGCTTCTGCAACTTCAGGAGAAGGCACGTTCTGATGTGCTAATTCATGTATCATCAGCTGTGTTTTCCTTCCACCAGTGCCAATGTAATTAATTTCTGAATTCACATGTATGTAAATTTTCAGGTACCTTTCATTCATACTCAGCTGTGCTTTCAATTATGGGTGACATGATTTAATTCTCAAGCATAACATGATGGAAAATACTTCTCTGCATTACAATAATTTAATTCAATGAGCTTTAAATAACAAAGGCATATTTCTGAACATGTGATTGAAGTTACCAGCTTAGTTACCAGCTTAATGAATCATGCAGAGTTTAACATAGTAGGACAGGCATATTTTCAGCCATAAAATTTGTTTCCCCAAAACTTCTGAATAGCAAAGTTGGTAATATGTAAATAATACCATAGAATCACATAAACATTTAAGTTGGGAGGGACCAATGGAGATCTCTAGTCCAAATTCCACTTTCAAGCAGGACTAACTTCAAAGCTGGATAGGGTTGCTCAGGGCAATGCCAACTTCAGTCTCAGATCTCCCAGGATGGAGATTCATCACTACTCGGGGCCATTTTTTCCAGTGCTTAACTGCTCTCGTGGCGAAGAACTTTTTTCCTCTGTCCAACTGGAGTCTTGCTGGCTGCAACCTGTGTCCATCGCCTCTTGCCCCTCTGCTGTGCATCTCTGAAAAGCGTATGGCTCTGTCTTCTCTGTAATCCCCCTTTAGGTATTGAATGGCTGCAGTAAGATGACCCAGCCTTCTCTTTCCAGGCTGAACAGAGCCTGCTCTCTCAGCCTCTTCTTCCACATTGTGTGTTCCCAGTCCCGAACCCTCTTGGTGGCCCTCCACTGGGTTTCCTCCAGCTTGTCAATGTCTCTTGTGTAGGAGAGCTCGAAACTGGACGCTGCACTCGAGATGTGGTCTCACAAGAATCAAGGGAAGCCTCACTTCCCTGGACCTGCTGGCTCTGCCCTTGCTAATGTAGCCAGGCACATGGTTAGCCTTCACTGAGACAAGGGCACACTGCTGATCCCTGTTAAACTTACTGTCCACCAGGACTTCCAGGTCCGTTCCTGCAGAGCTGCTAAATGTCCAGACAGACCCCAGCCTGTACTATTGAACTGGGTAGCTCCACTCAAAGGACAGGACTCAGCATCTGTTGCAGCTGAGTTTCACAAAGCACCTGCTGGCCCACTCTTTCAGCTTGTTCAGGCTCCTCCGAATGTGAGCTTTGCCTTCCAGAATATTGGCCACTCCTACCAACTTGGGGGGATTACTAAAATAGTATTAATCTTTTATAAATAATATATGTATAATAATTAAAGAAATAACAAAAAAACTCATTAAAAGCAAGGCATGACCTATGTTTGTAGTGTTATCACACATTCTCAGAACTAAACAATTCTGACATATATACAGTCTAAATTTCTCTTAAAGGTAGCTTGCTTTCAGTCCTGAGATAGCTGAATGCTAATTCATGATAGCATGGATTTTGTGCTGAATTCAAAGTCTCGGTTGTGTTGAGAAACCTCAGCAGCCGAAGCTTTAGTACAAATCTACAAATCTTCTTAATGCAAATGGCAAGTGAAGAACTCTTCTAAATCATACAGACAATTAGATTTGGTTCCGTTACATTTCATTGACTTCTTGCAGCGAGGACCTGTGACGTACTTCAAATATTTCTGTTAGCAAACCACAAATAATTTAAAATGCATGGGGTCACTGAGTAAGAAAACACAAAAGTACTTGACAGCAAAAGATAATGAATGTTAAGTGTAGTGGCAAACACTGACTATAAACCACAAAGTTCACGGAGTGTGAAGAGTTATTCCTGAATTCTCATTTGGTGAAATACAACTGCAATGAATATTTACTTGCCACCTTATCTAGCGGCATGAACAAAAGGAGCTGTTATAAATAAACAAACAACAGCCTGTTGGTTTCACTGCTGTTATCTTGGTGTTCTATTTTTAAATTAATCAAACTGAAAAACAAAGCGATTGGGGAAAAGAACAAGTGAAACATCCAAATTGTAGTTTCTATTTTTGTGTTAGCTACTGTCGTCGCTGATATGCCCAAGGTTCACCAGGGTGAGGAAGCTGTTGGCAAAATTTGGCAGGTGACAGGATGCCATTTGACTGCTTCGAGAATGAAATGCAGGTTTTAAATGTAAACTTCTATGGCCTGTTTCAAAGTGTCCTTAGTGTATCAGTAAAGCTGGGAAGTGATTTATAGGGAGGTAAAAGGAGGACTTAAAAAGGAGAGCACTGTAAATTTAAGAGGGTGTAATTAAATTGTCAGTAATACAGCGGCAGGGGTGGGGGGGAAGCAATCATGCTCTGTCTTTGTTCTGTAAGGACTTGCAATGTCCTACTGGCTGTTCTTGCTGCAGCACCTCACCTCTACTCTTTGATATACAAATGAAACCACCTCTCCGGTGCAGTTGTGCTGATAATAGCGAGTGACTTAACAGTCAACCTATTTGTCCTCAGACCTAGTTTGGCAGCTACTTTATTCTTCAGCGCAAGCAAAACTTTAATTGTGTCACTACCATATACGAAAACCTGCAATACATATTTAGTAACCCATCTGTTCTGCAAAACCAAACCCAGGTCAGAGATGTACTGAATGGTTTAACTCAATCTAACGAATATGGAAAGTTGTAAAGTACTTGCAGGATACGGATACAAAATAGGATGCATGTTGCCCAGATAAGATAAAGGGGCTTGATGACCCCAGCTTCCCACTGCTGACACCTCACAAGGCAGTGCACGTCCTTATGATAGTGCACAGCCCTCTCTGTTGCACTCTTCCACTTAGATTAGGGTTGCATCTTCCCCCCTGGCATTTACCAGAAAAGCTGGAGAAGATACACATCTGGCAGCTTTTCTTCAGTGTCTCTACTGTCATCTTCTGCAGAGTGATGCGTGTTGCAGAAACCATTTAATATAGGTTGGTGCTTGCCAGGAGGTGATAGTTAACTGGAAGAATACATTGTACTAGCAGGTTGGCCTGCTTAATTCTGTCTGCATAATTCATAACACATTGAAACACTTTCTTAGCCAGCCTTTACCTGCCGTAGGGACCAGACGAACCTTTCACGCAGGTTCTACGCACGTGGGTCCCAATGTAAGTTCAGCTAAGCCTTCAGATGCCTACGCATACATCGCTCCTGCCCCGGTATCAATAAAAAGTAATTCCTCAGTACATCAGCAAAGCTCCACACCCAGGCTTCGGCTGGAAGATCGCTATCCTCTACAAACCTCACCAACAAGAAAAGCATGTTCATAACAGACCATCTTACTTGAGTCAGTAAACAACCATGCTGGCCTTGATGCTAGTGTAAAACCAAGACACTATGGCTCTGTGTCTGTGCCTGAAAATCTTGAAAAGGGAGTAAAAGTTGGCAAAGAAAAATCAGGGGTTTGAATGCCAAACACCAGTTAGTTCTGCAATATTTTCTCTGTAAAGTCAGCATATCAAGATTATACTTCTTCAATATTACAAATTCCTGCGAAATGAAGAGTACACATACACACACCAGTGTACTGTCCATGATACAGAGATCACTGTTCGGCTCTCGTGACTTAGAATATGTTTTTCTAAATTTTCTAAAACAAATATATATTTCACAGTCGTATCATGTGGATTTGTTGCACTAGAAAGGCTTTGTGGTTCTGATCCTGTTACTGCATTCCCTAGCAGTCCCCCTTCCTCCCTAGGCAGCAGCATAAACCTCGCGCTCCCTGCTGTCCCCCTTTTCCTGCATTTCCTCTTAGCACAGGCTGCTCTTTCTGTGCGCTGCCTCTTCAACAGGAGTGCTCTGATTTTCGGTGTGGTAGGAACTGCGTCCTGCTCTAGTTTATGCAATGTATTTTTCTCTTCTTTCTGCATTATTGGTTGCTGTAGCTTATCATACATGCCCTGCTCTCCTGCTACTGCTTCAAAGCACTTCAGATTTTTCTGATTTGCCTTTCCTACTGAGTGATGCAGAGAATCTCCCACAGCCAGGAGGTGACTGTGATTTTTAGCAATGATGTTCGCAATAACTATTTAAAGCATACTTCTTCATTTGCGTTCTTATTCCTTCCTTCTTTGTTGTTATTTTGCTCTTCTGTGTTATGTGCAGTTTTAAATCAGACTCTAAACCCCCAAACTCTCTCTACAGTCTCCACTGTTCTTGTAATATGACCAGAAGCTGCTCAACGGTTTTCATTTGGTCTTGTGTTAGACGTCTAATGGAAAGCGCTTTCAAACATGTACCTTTTTTCCTCCAAACTACAAAGTCTCACAATCAACCTTATATCGTACTTCCAATTAAAATATTACCACAACAGATATATCTATAAGGTGCCTAGAATTTCACAGCCGTAAATCTATTACTTTGAATGCAAAAGTTGGCCAAAATGATTGAATTCTTGAGGCAATGAAAACGATACTGGTGATTTTATTCAGCATGTGTCCAATACGATTTTCCATTTAAATTCCACATTTTTTTAATGCTTTGCTTATAATGTTCTAAATGTCACCTTCAGATTTCATGGAGTCCCTTAAAAAGGTTTTTAAATTATTCACCAGAAAACTTAAATTTTAACGATTAAATAATAGGAGATTTATATACATCGGGGGGTTTCTCAGATACTGGGCTCTAAGTACATACAATGTCTATTGAGTAAAAAGAAAAAAGAAGAATCCAGTCATGCAAATCAGTTTACAAACCATGTTTCATTTGCTTTAAAAAGTTTTACTCTGTTACTGGCACATCATTTTAAAGTTAAGCAGATAATTTTTTTAAGGTTGCTTTGTCCCTTTCCATCTGTTTTGCCATTTTGCAGAACTGACAGGTCACATGCTACCGTAAAAGGTACTGGAAGGTTAATAACGGTTCTGCCACCATCGACCACTCCAAGCTTTGGAGCGGGTGTGTTTAAAAAAAAATCACCTAACCTTCAGCTAACTGCACTGGTTTATTTCTGAACAGCACACCACAATATCAGCATAGATAGCATATTGTAACCGGTGGGGTGATTCCACTTAATAATTTTTCAACACTAGAACCTTTCATCATTGTAGTTCTGTCCCATTTATGAATTAAAGGTCATATATAGAGCACAAATAAGGTCTAAATTTAGTCACAGCAGACCACAGTTCCACATAAAGACAAATCTTCAAGTTATGTTGACCTGCTAGGAGACAAAGATAAACAGCACAGCAAACATGTACCTGCAATGCACTGCTTCCCTATTAAATATTAACTGTTTCATTTACATTTAAATGAACTGAGCAGCAATGGATAGACTTTCCAGTACCGCTGTTTGGTGCTGCTGTCATGGAAAGAAGCTGAAGACAATGTGGTTCGTATGGGGGCTAATGATGCCATCTCAACATCTGCTCAGGTGACTTCCATGACGATCAGGCTCCAATCTTGAAATATAATCCTAAACAGCTTTTTTTTTCTCTCTTCCTCTGTAAACACATCGGTTTATAAATAACTTAGGTGTCTCCTTGACATTCACGGTATCTAACTGAAGCTGAAATAGAAAAGGATGGGTGATGTACAGCACTGAGGAGATGTCACAGTACTTTTGTTTAGCATTTTTGTCAAGTGCAGGTTGCTAATATCAGCCATCAGAGACAGGCGGAGTGACCCACCCATATTTTTCATGGGTCTTCACCAAACTCTTAAACGTTGCTTCAGCTTCCTTACGACTGAACGACTTTTTTGATTTGCCAGCTTTTCTGCAGATACGGCCCTGCACCAAACAGAAGAGAAAACCTTCATTAAACACATGAATATGCAGCTGAAAACCCCAGCTGAAGGTTTCAACAAGTCAGAGCAATAGGCATTCACTTACGGATACCAGAAAAGAGAGTTCTGAAACTGGGACAAATATGTTATTAGTGATGATTAAAAATGATATGCGGTAAAAGCAAAAAGACATCTGCTAGGCTATTTTTTCCCAGAGAACCCATGTGCTGGCACACTGCCCTGAGTGTAGTGGAAAGCCACGGCTGCCACACAGCCCGTATCTCTTTCTATTGTGCAGGGAGCCATTCAAACAAATGAAGGGCTCTTTGCCATGAGATGCTTGGAGCCTAACAGTGTTAAACCCTCATGCCTCCATATGATCACAAGTGCAGGCCTAAGCAGAGGTCACGGCATTTCTTAAAAGGAGAAATACCTTATCACCAACTTGCTTCCAAACTGCATTAAAAAACCCTGCTTTGTTTATCCCCCGCTTCACGACGCGTTGGCTTGATGATAAATGAAAATATTATAAACGCTCAAACATACTGCATCTTTATCTTTAGTTTGGAATTAAGTATTATCTCTAAATGCACAGCAGGATATAATTTCAAATCTTTGTTTGGCAATGTAGACATTTAGTGAGTTACGAATTGCTTACCTTATTTTGCACATTGGTCCACGGCAGTTACCGAGTAACAGAGACACAAGAAATAGTGCTGCAGATTTATTCTGCTCTACAGCACTAATACCCTTTAAAGTATTTATGCTTATTGGATTTGTCACATAACAGACATTTATTAAAGTCACAAATCTACAAATTTTTATACACTGATAGACTGCCCTGAAAGCCTTTGAATAAATAGTATTTGATGAGCGGATACCATACTACAGTGTTACCGTTATTAAGAACCAAGTTAATGTGTTCTCTCAATTTTTTGCACTCCTTTGCTTAAAATGCTAAGCCAGGTTGTATTTTTTGCTTCCCATGTTCTGCTGCTGACAATTTGGAACACAGCATGAAAATTGTCACTCTTAATCACATAGAACAAGTAATAATGCAAAAATAATTAGGTATGTGGCGGAAAAAAAGGGAAAAAAGGGAAGAAGAAAACTAGCAACAGACTCTATCCTCAGAGTATCAAAGTTATTTTTACAGACTAAACTGAATGAGGTTACTTTTCAGCTGGGAAAAATCATCTCCTCCTAGAAAGCTGTCACAATACTGCACTGATATGCTTTTGTGTTCAGCATTGCTATTATTACAGTGAAATGATGGCCATAAGAGTTAAAAAAGCCGTTTCCTACTCCTCTTTCCATGAGTAATTTTGATACGTCGTTTAACTCGTTTCAGGATCGAGCCTATCTAAACATTAGGAACAGCCTCTAATTGCCAGCCTAGATTTATTCACAGCCAACTTATACTCATTTGGTTTTGTGACAATATAGTTGTGTCTCATAGATAGCTATTTTACCATTTGATGTTTTTCCCTTTTCCCCTTTCCCCTGGTCCCCGTTTACAGACTTAGCGTATTGCCTCTTAAATACTCTTCTGCTCCCCTAAACAGCAAAGACAACTTTCCCCTTGCCACGTGAATTCAGCAATTAGTATTTCCCAAATAAGGATGATCTGAATGGTAGCCCATTTAACCAAGCTAATACATTTTCTCAGTAAATGTTCCTTTTTTTGTTCCGACAATCGGAAGGATTAAATAAATCTGGGTAATATTTTTCAAAATCTCATGAGTCCTAGTTCTAATATTGCTTTTTTTCTCAAGCATTGCTATTCCAGTAGGGTGCTGGAAACGTAACATGTTCTTATTGGCTAATTATGTTACATAGCCTGCAGGAATATTTTTGCTATTCCAAACATATTTTCTATTTTCTTCCTAAGCCAGGCTCGTTTTGGAAGTATACTTAGAGAAAAACAGGAAAAGATAAAGTTCAACAGTGGATGAAATCAGCTCAGGAAATGATGTCCTCAAAATTTCAGCAATGACATGCTTTTGAAAGTAAATATAACTTCATAAACCTACTCCACTACTTAATTTATGGAATAAGTCCATTCCCCATCTCTTGTCTTATACATACAATTTTTTTTAAAAATCATTTAAGGCTTTGATACCTTTTTGGATAGTTTGCATAGCACCTGGTACAGTATGATCTATGTCTTCCTCAGCTTTGTCATAATACTTATACTATTCCATACCTAGAAATAGGATCTTTGCATTGAGAATAACCACAATCAATGTCAACTGCTATGAAACAAGGAAAGTAAGAAGTCTTTGGCTTTCCAATAATGCAATGAATGTCATGCCATCTAAAATGTTACTGCAGTTACAGCATGTGAAACAAGCATCATTTCATAAGTATATTTTCTTACTTGTTATTAATGTAACAAATCATTAAATCCACTTCTAAAACGCATTCAGGCACCATATGCAGGCGCTACGTAAACTGCATCATCAAAGACTAGTTAATTCTGCCATGATCCCGTGGATGTATTTCTATATAATTATACAGCAACTATGGGTGGCATGGTTAGTACCGGCTCTTACTAACCAGTATCCTGCCAGGTGTCTATAATTTGGATAAAATTTAACCTTATGGACTGAAAGTTTCCCTGTTTGGTGCCTCAGGTAAATCTAAGGTAAAGAGAAAGAAGCGTAGAATTTGAGTCAAAACAATGCAGATGCTTTTGAAACTATACTGGAGCAACACCTACTGTGTTAATGATTTTTAGCTTGTCACCATTCCCACAAACCTCTCCCCAAAGTTAACTACAAATGGTGTTTGGCCCATAATTATAAAAGAAAATGTCAAACAGCTATTTTAATAGGCACTGTTACCAGTTCTGACTACACTATGCTTTCAGGTTGCTACTTTACTGTCACTTTAACTCTAGTCAGGAGACCATGAGCTGCTGCATATCCTAAATATGATAAATACAGTAAACATGGTATGTAAATACAGTACTACTCATAGCACAGTTGCACACAACTGCATATTGCCTAATCTCTAAATCACACAAGTCGTCACTACTGCCCTGGTAAGGAGGACAGACCACTTGCATGGCCAATATTTTGATGCACCCGGCACCCAGTCAAGAAAAGATATCAAACTGGTATGTGAACAAGATGAGAACATTCCCCAAAAGATTAAAAACAACATAGAAAACATAGAAACATAGAACAACATAGAAAATCTTCCATAAAGATATTAACGACATCTCTAAGAAAGTTGTACC